AATTTTAATATAATTGGGAACATTTTAGCATTTAATTATACATTCTGTAGTATTTAAAATCAGTAAAATATATGTATTCTTATATTATATTTGTTAAAGCTCAACTCTATATTATAATGAAAATCTATAATAATATTCAAGTTAAAATGTCAAAAATATACCATTTTTTAGTCGATCAAAAGCAAAATACTGCTGAAATGTGTAGAAATACTAATACTATTATGTTAACAACAAAGTGATATTTTTGGAATTCCTAAAAATGTCAGCAGCTGAGACTCGTTTCAAATTAAATTCATAAGAGGATATGATACGAGTTATATTTGAATGCCAAACTTGATATTACAGAATTTCAGAAATGAAATTTAATTTGTAAAATCGTTGGAAAAATTTAACGAAATTGAACAATTTATGGGATGAAGGTAAGACTGATATAAACTGCATTGATTAACTACACAAATATGAAGAGAAAATTCCAGTAGTTCAAATCAGTTGATGAGTTTTAAACAGTAATAAGGCAGTAGTTTAAAATAATCCAATTTAATTATATTTAATAAATTAAGTTCAGTTATTTTTTTTTTTAAATATTTTTTATAAAAATAAAAATAGTTTGTCTTTTGATAGTCTTTATTAAGATATTAGGTACCTTCTCTTGTTATTCTAATAAAGTAAAGCGTCTGTTCTATTGTATATTCTTAAACATTTTATAGAGGAAGCTTATGTAAGTGTTTCACAGTTTTTTTGTGATACATTTAGTTGATATTTTAGCGATAGTTTGTCCTTCATATTATATTTTTTTCCTGCAGTATTCATTACACCATTGATTTCTTATAAAACCATTAACTAATAAACAATATAACCATATTCATGCGTTGTAATAGTCAATGCTAAGAATCGTTAAATAAGCTATTCGTTAAATTAGTTTTTCTATTCTTGAAAGAGCTTTTTCCAGTGCTATTTTCTTTCTGATTTTATTCAAAAACCATAAAATGAATTTGTTCTGTTCCAGGTTTTATAGTTTTTGACACTAGAGATCCTAGAGATTATTTTCAAATTTAATTACTTTTATAAAAAGTATTTAAATATTTTACATGTGACTGTCAAACTGAGATTGAAGAGATTAAGTGGAATATTGTGACCACAATCAATCTATTCTCGTCACAGTGTTGGACATTAAGTATAACCCAAACAGATCTTCATTGTTAACAGCAAACAATTATAGTACATTAGGCATTTAGTCCTACGGTCTTACAAATGAAGACCAATATGTTTGTTGTTAACTGTTTCTTATTATCGTATGTGTGTAGGAGTCCTCTGTACTCTACATTTGTCTATTGACTCAAAGCAAACTCAAATAATAACAAAGAATGTGAAAAGAGGTGTTCATGTCCTTCTATCCAGCGACAACATTCTGTCGCCAATTTTGCTGTCCTGATAGGAAGACACATGAAATGCTTACATGGAGCACCACGCTAGTAGCAATAATTTTCAGCTGCAATAACTAATTTACATTTTTAATTAGTTGCTACTAATTCTATAATAGAAGTTCGATTTATGGAGTCGTGTCCGATTCGGTTCTAATAAATAATTTTGTATGATTGTAGAAGTCCAATTAGGGCAACTGAGATCTAGAGCACGCATAAATATAAATCCCAGTCACCCAAGTTATCTTTAAAAATATTATCTTTAAGACTATCCGCAGACAACTTTCACTTCGATAGAATATTGTAGAAATAATGCCACAAACTGATTATAAGTAGTACGGAGAAATTGAAACTAAAATAATAAATATCAACTTTCCCATAATGTTTTTTTTTATAATAAAAATAAAAATAATATTTTATTATTTAATATAATATATGTTACTTATTTGTTCGATGATGGCTTCTAAAACCACTACACATATGGATCGATTGATCTCCAAGTTTGTCTTCATGTCTTGAAGACGTCTTTGATAAGAACTCGATCCATTTACAATCTAGATAAAGTAAGTACATATTTACTTATAAAATATATATAAAAAATGTACAAAATATAAAAGATATAAGGACGAAAGTATTTATTTTAATGTCCACATCATGTTCAATTTCCTATATCATATTGTGAAATTATTATGTTTTATTCCTAACATATAAATTAAATATCTTTTAATGAATCTTAATTAAATTACAAAATAAGCAATTATATTATATTAATTTATTTTTAACTTCCTATAATTAAGCACAAATATTTATTCTTAATTGTTTGTGTATAAAAAATAATAAATCATTTGATTAATTTAATTTCATGAAAAACAACAAGTGCAAGTGAAAAACAAAAAAATCAAAAGATTCTTAATTTGACAATAACTTAATTACAATTCAAGGAGCGTAATTATAGCCATTGGTTTTCTGTCCTCGACGTTGATTCTCATTAATCACAATATTTATGCTCCACCAGCAACTCAAGTCCAATGTTTACAAGTTGTTAGTGACTTAGCGTAATTGGGATGAGGCGATGATGACGTGGTTGTGGACATTATTGACTTTGACTTTTTTCGATGTCCTACAAATTATGGGCTTAAATACTAACTTCTGAAATGTCATTTCAAAGTATCTGCAATTGAGAAGTCAAAGTTAATTATTGTATCTTGGTATTGTATCTTATTCTATATTGTATAATGAGTAATAATTTGTTGACAATAAATAATTTCAATATTGTAAACAATATTTATTTTCTTATTTTTACTACATTATTAACGTTAATTAAAATACATTGTATAAAAATAAATTGTACAGAAATCAATTCCAAGTAATTCTGTTTTTAATCCGATAATTGGATGTTGTCATGAACGATTCGGTTTGTTTATTTCCTAGATTTTTATTCTATTTATTTTTTTTTTTTTTTAATAGGTCAAAGTTTGACACACTTAAAGTAATTTAAGAATATATTGGAAAATGATTTTAGACACCGGCCCATAAAAATCCAATAGTTGAAATTTCAGTTTAGTAATCTGGAACACATAAAAGTGGTCAATGTATATATACAAGCATAACTAGCTAAATTTATTAATATGAAGCCAGAGAGTATGTGCCAAGTTGTGGCTTGGGAATACACTGGAGTTGACGTACAACTACAATCAGATTGGAATAATTTTAGACTGGCTTATTTTATTTTTTTTAATTTATAATTTCATATATATATATATATATATATATATATATATATATATATATATATGCCGTAGCATAGCTTAAGTGCATTTAAATTTCGCAGCATAATCATGGATGAGCCAATTTTTAATCTTAAGTTATGTGGTGGCATTCCTGGTAAGTCCAGCGAATTCAAAAATTCAACAGGATAGTGCGATTCATTTTAGATACTTTAAACTTTTTAAAGAAATCAAAGTAAGCATGAATAAATTTTAAATGTTTAATATAAATGTATGTGGATACCAAAAAACTGTATAGTAATTAAAAAAACATTATCCAGTAGACCAAATTATGAATCTAAACCATCCTTGAATCCACTTGAACACACAAAAAATTTCATCAAAATCGGTTCAGCCGCTTAGGAGGAGTTCACTGTTAACACACGTACAGAAGAATTATATATATAAAGATATATATATATATTATATTGTATATTATGTTATTATATTATATATATTATATATCAATTTATTATACAAATATAATTATTATATTTATATATATTTATTATTAATTTATATATATATATATTTATAGTATATTAAACATCCAAATGGTGTTTTTTTAGAGCTATTGAAACTATAGTTGAGAGAAGTATTCTATGGCCATTAAATTTTAAATGCCAGATCTTTACAAAATCACGTCGATGCCCAGTGTGAACGTCATTTTAGTGTTAACAAACACGTCTATGGAATATATGGTAACTAGAATATAGAAGCACTGATAAAAAAGATCTTACTTCGTGTCATTAAATGGTAGAAGTAGTAACTAGTGATTGCTTTCCAATTGTGTCAAAACTAAGTAAAGTCGTAAAGCAATGTTTTTTTATCTTTTTGAAATCTTTTAATTTAAAAAATCTTTATTAAATTTTTGTTTTTAATTGTGAAACTGGAACTTTATAAGCAATTGTGCTTCTGCATTATATAATAAATAATTAAATGCAATATAAATCACTTCGCGAACTGTTTTTATATGTCAGATAAATACATTAAATATTTATTAACAAACTATAACAAGAATAAAGAATGTATTAAAATTCTTCTATTAACTCATATATGATTTTATTCATACTCACATTTTATTTTTAACTTCAGCGAGATTTATGCAGACATTAATTATATTCGTACTTGTACCTTTAGAGAAGGAATTTCCAAAAATTTTACTTTCATTGGCATTAATTAAGTTTAACAATTTAAATTCTGTCAGAAACAAGTTCCTAGTTTCGGAATCTTTCAATTTAATGATCTTGTGTTGGATATTCTTCGAGTGTTTCTTACCTGAAATTTATTCAAGTTTATTTTTGTTACAGTTTTTCCAGTTTCGTGCAATGAACTCGAAAGCGACAAATTGTGTTTGTTTACAAAAATTAGAAAAAAATAAAAATATTATTAAAATTCTTATGTAAATTGGTTAATCGTTAGGTTGACAGAGTTTTGGACCGGAGTTCCAAAATGAATTACAAAATATTCCATGTATTAAAAGTCTTTTATGCTTCGTGTGACGTATGTCAGAAGCACACTTCAAGTCCAAAGAATCTGCACAGTCGGCGGCTTTGGACAACAATAAGACTAATTTATTAATTTAATAATTTAAAACGATTTGTAAGGGGACGCTATCGTGTATTCCGAGATGAACGATTCGTTTGTTCTTTTGCGAAACGAGTTTTGCAGACGTAAAATTTTACCAATTTGTTAATTTATTATTATTCAGCGTCTAATTATATTTCTAAGCTGCGATTGCAGAATATTCCCGTGGATATAAATAGGCGAAAGGAATGAATGGGAACTACTTCCAATTCAACACTTGCTAAAAACAGTCAATTTTATTTTAATTAAAAAACATGTCGAAATATTTTGTATTCGCTATTGTTCTCGCCTTATGGTTATGCCTTGTCAACAGTGCCGCTGTAGGTGGACGCTCAGGACGTCTTCTCGATGCTAATACAATAATTCAAAGGATCATAGGTATGAAAAATGCTTTATCTTACAGAATTATTTTAGAATTAACTTTAATTAATAAATAAATCTTTACAGCTGAATATGAGAAACTACCCGGTCCATCTGTGCACCATCCTCATGAAGTAGCAACATTGATTGATCCTGAAAACTTTCATCTGAACTTTTAAATTGGCATATAAGGATAATGATTTAAAATTAATAACCAAGTACCTTTTTTAATATTAGTGTTTATATTATGCAATTCTTTAGAAAATAAATTCGTTAATCAACAATAATCTTTATAATGTCTTTAACTACATCTACACGATTAGAATAAATGTTGTTTCATTGCATTATATATCTTTTCAAGTGCAATTTTTAACTCTATTATATCAATATTTTCAGGAACATCTTTAATGTTTAATATGGTCTGATTAAATCGAAAACTAGTGTTGAATACAATTTTTGTATTCACAACAATACACTAGTAGATAATCAGAGAACAATTCTTTATCCTGAAATTCAAACATAATATCATAACTTCTAAGCATTTAGAACTGCGTTTATATAAGTTTTTATACATAGAAAACCATTCTCTTTAAGAAAATTTCAAGATAAAATTACCTTTTTTTATTTTTCATACATATTTTAACATCCTGGATATACCGCTAGTCGTCTATATGCAAATAAGTTTAGAATGCTAAGCCAAAATCACTAAGCGTTGAAAAATACCAATGAATCTGAAACTCGCAATGATGAAAAAAGCGACCAACTCCATACTCCAACTCCGTCCAAATACCAACTCACTGTATATGCACTGCACCGTTCATCCCTTTTATAGTGAAACTGTATAAATATTGATCCGAATTAAGATTATTTTAACCTACGTTCGGCCCATTTATATAAATATACATATAAATTTATATCAGATCTTCTAGAATTAAAATATTGAACTGTAAAGTAATTAGTTTTCAATGTTGTCATACTGAAGTATTTAAATATTGAATATTAAACGTTGTCATTTATTTATTATTTCCATTATTTTTTGAGTTGCAGAAGCAGTATAAATTTTTTTAAAAATACAAAAAATAATTTTAACCAGGACATTTTTTTTTTTTAGATTACAAACTTCAGAACTGCAGAACTTCTAAATGATATCTGGCTTTAGCTGTAGCTTCAAGTAAGTAAATGTAATAAACAATATTGAAGACCATCAAAATTCTATAACTATTTCCATTTCATTAACTAACATATTTTTTATCAATATTTTACTAGGAAATACTTATTTATTATATATTTGGTAAACGATACTTTTTGACATATATAAAATAACTCTGAAGGCAATTATTCAGAAAATTTAATTAAAATAAATGTAAGTTGTAATTCAACGTCATATTTTTCTGACAGAAGTGATTATTATATTTTTAATAGAAACTAGTATATTTCATAAAGAGGTTTTTCGAACAGTAGTGAACTACAACAACAAAAATTGATTTTTATATTATTTTTAATTAATTGAATTTGACTGACTGTTTCGAGTATTAATTTAAATTTGATAGGACACGAGTTTGACTCCTGGTACTTGTAGTTTTAAATGAATTATTTACGAATAATTAAATATAAGAATTATTTCCAAGTCTACTAATGATGGGTATTTGCTGTATGCTGTATGGTCAGCCAAAAATTCAATTAATTAAAAATAATATTAAAATCAATTTTTGTTGTTGTAGTTCACAACTGTTCGAAAAACCTCTTTTAAAATAAATGACAATTTAAAATATCAGATGATCAGATTGTGTTAAATCTAAGATTTTCTAATTATCATGTCCTAATAGCTACTTAATAAACTTTTTTAATATGAAAATCTTTTCCAAATTTCTTGACCTTCAAAAGAGCAAGTATCTTGCAAAGAATACAACTATATATAGCAATAATTGAAAAATAAAATGAATTCAGTATGATTTAGACCAGGGCTGTCCAGACCAGTATAAGATCGCGGACCAATTGAAATCACTGAATAGGTTGGAGGGCGCAAAAATATTTCTTTCATGATTTTGCCGGAGAAAAATAAAAATATGGCGATAATGCGTAATTTATTTAATATTAATTTTTCATTAATTTATGAAAATGAAAAATATCTTATTTCTAATGCAATGACTTACGGCACTGGAGACGAGTATATGTAAAAAGACTAGTTGTGGAAAAAAATATATAGAAAGTCTTTGTCAATTGTATAAATTAATGTGAAGTATAATAAATTATTTAAAACATTTTAATTCATTTACTTAGGATACCATAAAAATAAATTAATGTAGTTTTAACAAAGAATATTTTGTCTAATTGTGGTAAATTAGAAACTGTCTGGGCCCCATAAAGAAAAACCGCCCCATAAAGATTTTTTTATAGCAATATGATTTATAATTCTGAAATTCTGAAAATCTGAAAAAAGATATATGATAATTTATGAAAATAGTACTCAAAAATAAAAAATTTCAAAAACATCTATCGAAGATAGAATAGTAACACAATGAGTTCCACAATCACCAACTCCATACCATATCTACCTACACTTTTACATAGTAAAATGGGAACCAACTATACCTTTACATATTGCATACATATGACTGATCCTATACTTAGACAGAAGTTACAGAAGACTGGAAGAGAAATATAACACCTCACGCAGGTAAAATAGAGGCAAATTCCTGTCAACGAAAGACCTTCCGACCTTCAAACACATAAATAATAGATGAAGTATCACAATAAAGCATCGCAACTAACCAAAAGGTGTTCACCTAAAAGATAAACTAAAGATTTTAAGAATCCTATCTCAAACGAATCTAATAATCATGTAAAAAAAAACAAATTAGTTAAATAATTAAATGATTTTTTGAATACCTAGATATTAGTACTACATCCATCAAATAACAATTCTAACAAATTAAATCCTTAATTATCCTTAATGGTATACTTATTGTTAAACTCGTTATGTAGTTGATTATATTACGATAATAAAAGTAGTAACTATGAAGTAAATAGACTATATGAATAACTTCAATCCTATTTTGTAAATTAGATGTTTAACAAAAAACATTAACAAAATGAGGTAGTTTCAACTACTCTTTATAACTACACAATAAAGTGAAGCCCTGTGTAATTTACTTTCTGGCAACTGCAATGTAGGGAATAAATATTCAAGCGAAAAACGCAGTGAGTTCCTGCAGAGGTCGGAAACCAATTTTTCACACCATATTTTGGTTTACAAATAAACATATGTACGAAAATCTAAATATACATAACTTTATATAACATAACATATATATGTGAGAAATGTATATAAATTTATAATTATTCAACTTTTCCTTTTAACGACTACTTAACAGAAATTTATTATCCTTCACATACAAAAGTGATGGAACTTATTGGGGCTGTGTTTACTGAAATGAAATATTTGAAGCTGGCATTACATTGAAGTGCAGAAGTTTTATGACTGATGTACATCAATTCCTGTGAAGTGACCAAAACTAATTACCACTAAAAGAGCAGTTAGCTTCATTACCAATAAATTTCAATGCAAACACAAGTTCGAGCTTTAATTCTGAAAGTTTATTTTACGAGTTCCTTAATAGCAGTCAAATGTGGGCCTGAACTTTTATGACGTCTGCGAATTATTTGGTACTCTGCCGCTAAACTAAGCCATTATTTGTAGCTTTAATAAAAATAATTAATTTTTGTACCAAATTAAATGCAATAAATCCGCCTCTTCCGTTTAAAAGTGGGTAAGTGTAAGTAGGTGCATTAATAAAAATCTCCACAAACTTTTTTAAACTTCCATCTTTTAGTAAATTTTAAATTACTCACAAAGTTTACGAAATCTAATAAACGAATGCATCATGTACATTAAAAAAGAAATTGCATTCCAAAATGTTTAGTAATTCTGTAAATTTCATCAAAATACTCGGGTTGTTTAAACTAAATTGCAAAGGAATTTTTTAGTATCTTCAGTTCGTACGGAATTCATATGGGATTCTCATGTGCTTAACTCTTTCTAACTGCAGAAAGGAACATGTACTATTTTTGCAAATATTGCATTAAGGGAACACGCACCTCCATAAGTAGATAATAATTACATACAAGCTTACAAGGCATGTAAGGATGATATACAGGATAACATTTTACAATTTTTAATATTTTATTAAAACTGTTCTATCTGCAATGCATTCGAAGTAGATTGAAGATCACAGTTGTTTACAATACTAACAATTTTATTTGACATTCGTACAAGACTTCGTAGTTTGTGAAATATTTAGGTACTTATAATGTTATTTACTTATGGGAATGTACACATTTTCTACAGTGCAGTTTATATTTTGCAATTCCAATTACTAGAAAGATTCATTTCAGATTTGTATTTGTATTTGAATTAAGTAATTCAAAGATATCAAGTGATAAATTATTGTTTAAAAATTTATTTTTATTTAAACTATAAACTAAAACTATAAACTAAATGAATAAATAAGTTTTACTTTGCTTATTGCTATTAAATGATTAAACCAATGTAGACTGTTCAGTTCACTATGTTTCGAATGATTCCATACATTTCAACGCAAGAAAAATAAACACAAACACTAAAAATTGCACACCACCAAATAAATATTTTATAAAAATTTGTGTACATGTACGCAAACACTAAAATTGTAGTTTACTATTTACGTACATGTACATTGTACACTACAAAACTACTTAAGGGAGATTATAGCTCAAATTCATTTCGAAAATTTTTGCCAAAAAATGTACACTAAAAGTGTACATTACGCTCACGTGTTTGCGTACCTTTGTTTTGTACACTACTGGTTCTACCATTAAAGTTTATTTTTGTTAAAATATAAACACAAATTTGATTAATTAGTCAGTGAGAAGCTATCAAAGAGTAAAAGTGCACTAACTCGCAAAGTACTCAACATGAACAAATTTAGTTACCACTAATTTTTTTATTAAAGCTTTATTTAATTTAAATAATGCATCTTAATTATCTTTACTAAGATCTTTGGCTACGTAAGGGGACTAGAAAGCAATACTTTTTTTGATGATAATTCTAAGATTCTTTTTAAGTACAAATTACGAGTAGTCTTATACTTGCACTTATGTTGTTGAAGAAATATTAAGCTAATATTTTAAACGTTGTTTACAACACTATTGTTAGAATGTATTTACCAAAATTACTTGACTTTGAACCCATAAATTAGAATATATTAAATCAACCTTTCTTTTGGTTCCTTTAACAAATTGTTAACTTTAAAAAAGCAACTTCAGGGATTGTGAACATCTTAATTTTCCGCAATGACGTGGTGATTTCGTATGTGAAATTAATTTAACAGTTTTGCAATTCATGGGCAGCAGTTGGTTTCCGTTTATTTTTTTTAATTTAAATATTATTCCGAAATTTATTTTCATTGAAAGCTTAGGAAGTAATTTATTTAAAAAAGTATTTATTTGCACTTTAGTAGCCTATTTTAAACTAAACTGTTAAAAAGCACTTTATAATAAAATACATAATAATCTTCTCGATGAACGATTAATCGTTACTCGACGAAACATGAAATAGTGTCTAAAGCACTTTTGATTAAAAGTCACTGCAACAAGTGATCCGTTGAAGGACTTAAACGAGATATATAGGTGATTTTATGGAAGTATAGTTTGAAGCACAGCATTCCATCCTGGTGGAGTAAATATTGTATTTGTTTTAAGACAGTGCAATTAATGTAAGCATTTAAGGAATCAAATAATATCAGCTTTCTATCTATGATGTACTTTTACACACTCTAGATTGTCAAGTCCTAGTGTATATGTTCTTCCTTGATATACCATTGAAAGCTATATAATATTCTGACAAGTTTCAAATTTATTAATGGTGGATTTAGCAGCATTACAATAAGAAATACAAACATAAAAAATCATTTAGATATAATTACTTGCTAATAAAGTAGTCAACTTTCGTTATATTAATGGTTTCAGAGCATTCAGAGTTATATTACAAGCCACTTTTTTAACTACTCAAGTGTATCTTCTATCAAAAGTAAGATCTAAGTGTTACACAATATGTTTCCGTTCTACTTTCACATTATTGGCTTTTATGTTTTTCAGGTTTTAATTTTCATGTCTTGTGATGATAATAGTTTTAATTTTTTCTGTATTTATTTTCGGAAATATCTTATTATCTTATTAACATGAAGGTGTAAACTGTTTACAACAAAATAACGTAGGTATCGTCAGCAAGGAGAGAAATTGAAATCATAGCTTCCGAAAGAAATTGTGCTATATATAAATTACACAATAAAGGATGCAATGTGGAACCATGAAGAATACTCGGTGTCATTTTCTTTGTAATTGAAACGTGGTTTTGGACTTTGACCAAGAACTCTATAGTTGATAAAAAGCTAGCGAAAAGTTTCATCTTGTCAAAGGAGATATCACAACTATATTAAAAACATAATTAAAAACTTACAGAATTCAAGTGAAGAAAGTATTTTTGTTTAACTTTCATATTTTCTTAAAATTAGTTTTATTTAAAATTGAATCGTAATTTTAACAAATTTTTAAACGTCTCGTATGTAAAGTAATGGTCAATAGTATAGTATATACATAGCTACATTACTAATTTTGAGCAACATACGAAACAAAGTTTGAATAAAATTCAAATCGCCACAAAAAAAATGAATATTGTAGTTTTTTGAAATTAATTATTAAATTGATTTTTAACGTAAGTTTTGATGAAAGAAACTAAATTCTAAATTATTGTTTTCAATAGAGAGGTCTTTTAAACAGTATTGAATTGCAACAATAAAATTTTATTATTTTTTATTAATTAATTGAATTTTTGGCTGACCATACAGCTGCATTGAGTATTGCCAAATATCCATCATCAGTGGTCTTGGAATTATTTATTATATTGAAATATTTGTAAATAATTTTTTTGAGACTGCAAGCAACAAGGGTTGAAGTGGTGCCCGGCAAATTTGAAACTCAAAGTCAGCACTTAACTTCTACTGATTTGTATGTTCTGACTTGGAATTTTATTAATTTGCTGTGAAAGTTTATTAACAAATTCACTTGCTGTGTTGTATTAGAACGAAATCATAAACCAACTGGAGAATAATTTATTTAATTAATTCTATTGAAATTTTTAATTGTTGAATTTCAATATAATTATTTTCAAGAAACATTATTTATTGTATGATTTTACTACTTTTTTGTGCAATAGAACCTAATTTGGGAACCTAATATGGATAAAGTCTTAGTATGTCGTGACATGTTATTTCACGATTCGATTAGGCGACATTGGAAAGGTGAATAAATATTTCTATTCCTATATTTTATTCCATCATAATTGTATATTAAATTGATTTTTAACTTCCGTTTTTTTATTTAATTTAATTAATTTACTATGTAAATAATATTTTTAAAACTTATATTTTATTTAACCAATTTTTCAATTATATTCTATAGCCATCTCAGGGTATTGTAATATTTTTATAATATAGCAAAAATTAAACATAAACGATATAGAAATAATTACAGAAAGTTACAATTAAACGGAAAATACATACATATATGCAGGAATTTCAATACTATTTTTATACTTAACGCTGTGTTTATGCCCAGCTAAATGCGTCTTCAAGTTGTTTTTCATTGTACCAACAGATATTTGGTTGCATATATTTTTTTTGGAACCGTCTCTTTTACATTTGGTTTGTTGATTTGATAAACTACATTATGCTTATCCATTGTGTCAATTTTAGGTTTGGTGTTATATATATAACGTGTCGGTTGTATTTTGTGTTCTATATATGATTTTATATTACTGCTTATTGTAAATACTGGATGCTGAGATTTGTTCCGAAAGTTGGGGGATATATACAACGCTGAAATTCGGTTATCCTGATTATGTTGTTTTGAATTATGAATTACTAGGTTTGGAAACCCATTTTCAAGAACTGAACCAATTAGCCCATTTCAAAGAAAAATATTATTAATTATAAATTTTGGTAATTTAAACAAAAAATTATTTATCTATAACAAAAAACTATAACATTTAACTATGGTTGGTACACATATAATTGTTATAAATACTGATAAGTACTGATAAAATAATTGTAATAGTTTTATAAAAATAAATTTTTTTAAAATAATTTGAAAATGGAAATTTAAACCACGAAATCAGTACAAAAATAGTTCATATAATGACATCAAAACGAAAAAATTATTTTACAATGGCCTTTTTTGAGTGAGTGGTTTTAAGCCTCAAAACCTTCACTAAGGAATCTATGCATATAAAACAGGCAAAAAATATGATTCTAAATTATTATTATATTATATTATTATTAAATATATATTTAAATTTATGTATATTAAATTTTATTTTTAAATTAGATTTTTTTCAATAAATGGTTTTTTGTCTTACATTACTATCCGCTAAGTTGCTTGTGCCAAAATTGTTAACTGTGATTTATTAACTGTAAGCTCAAAACATACTGAGAATGTTTTTTATTGTATGCAACAAAATTAAATTATTTCATGCGGTTTTTTATTCATCACTTCTATCGCAGATCTAAGAATATCTAATGAATAAATACTAAAATAATACTTTAAGTGAAATAGTTTTATCGTGTTTTTCGCACGTGTTATAACTCACTACTCAACAATAAACTAGTAATTTTAAAAATTAGTTAAAGAAGATTTTAAAAATCCTAAAGATTTTAGAGTAACCTACAATAAATCTTGTAATTCAATTATTATATGCTTAAAATACAAAAAACATATATCTTGAATTATTTAATAAAATTTATTCTAAACCGTTTTAACTGTTTAGTTAAATTTTATTACATTTATATTTTTTCAAATTAATAATTTATTTAATATTTTTTTATTTATATTGTGTATATTAGGTATGTGAAGATAATCAAACTCAACGTATTTTTCAGATGTTGCTTTACTTTTTATTAACAGCCGCTGTACACATATTTAAGCAATCAATAAGCATTCATTTATTTATCTCACTCTTACACGCGTTACATTATACGAAATGTCATTCTTTTCGTTTAACTTATGTTTATACATTCACACCCATGCGCTTTTGCGAAATGCGCATTCACGATAACGTAATGAAAAGATTTATTTCGATTTTTGCCTATACATTATTTTTCAAGATGGCCGTAAGCGTGTACGCGTATACATATGAGAGAAGTCGCAAAAATTTTAAATTTAATTGTTAAAAGGCACTAAATAATGAATATAAAATAAAAATAATATATATGTGTCATATGTATATTTCTGTATTTTAAAACTTTTATAAAATTTTCATTATTGTGAACGTAATAGAGAAAGGCTGCCGCCCCGCAGGCACAAAATTTGCATTGAATAAATTCTAAATGTGTCACAATTTAAATGCTATATGAAAAAAGTAATTAAAATACTTTTTTGTATTCAAATTAATATATAAAATATTTAAAAAAAATTATTCTGGGTATATTATAAACACTTTTTCACTGTCAAATTAAGTGGCGCGTTTATTCAACAACACTTCAAGGGGGTAAAGAATAATCAAATAAAAACAAAATACTAAAAAAGTTACATAAAAAAAATTTGTGTGGAAAATGTCTTCAGCAAAAGTTACAGCTAAAGAAATTGTGCTACCGGCATCTATAGTAAATGGCGATACCGACACTGACGGAGCTGAAGGTTCAATAGAATTTTTGGAAGAGGTAAGTAAACATTTATAATACTGTCTATAAACGAGGGGAACGTAAAAAGTTTAAAAGTAACATTTTAATTATAATTTGTGTGAAGCATTATTTTAAATATCTATCGATTTGTTTTGTAACATTTAATGTGGGTATTGTTTAATAATATAATTATAAAAAATCTTGAATATGGAATTAATATAAAATAAATGGTGCATTTTAATTTTAGCATGATCCGGAACACTTGAATGCACTTAATTCAAAACAACATATTGGAGAAGAAGAAATTGAAATGCTTACTGAAGAGGAGGGAGAATATTATGAATATGAAGAACGAGTTGAAGATGAAGAAGAAGAAGAACCCATAGCACCAGAAGATAATACGCCAGTAACTCGCAAACCAACTCAGGTGCCAAAGAAAAGAAAAAATCCAATAATAGATGCAGATGAAATAACTAATAATGATATTAAAATATCGAAAAAATCGCAACAAATTAAGAAGGAAGATCAAGCAACAAGTTCTGCCAAAGATATTTCGAATAAAGAAAACGAGGTAGACGAAGAACAATGTCGAGTTTGCACATCGAAAGAAGACTTAGTTAGTCTCTTTAAGAAAATTGATAAGTATACAATAGCTGATATGTTAATGACTATTTGTCCAACAGTATCTATAGCGCGTAAAGATTTTATGCCACAATACGTTTGTAATGTATGTGTAGATAATATTACTATAGCCATGAAACTAAAAACTTTATGTGAAACAACGGAAAGAGATTTACGAAAAAAATTATCTAGAAGTAAAAATAAAGTAAGACGACCAACCGGATATGTTGTTATTGATGCTCCTGCTGAATCTGATCCTGCATCTGAAGAAGAACTAAACGATGATGTAGAATTTAAAGTATCAGAGGAAGGAAGTATTTCTGCTGGGGATGATTCGGATGATTCAGATTTTAGTACGAAAAAAAAACGGCCAGTTCGCAGTACAGCTGGGAGGCGAGGACGTCGAAAATCAAACCTAACACCCGCGTCCCAACAGAAAGAAAAAAAACGAATGGGTCGCCCTCCAATGAAACGTAATATACAAGCAGTTGACAGTAGTGGTGAAGAAAAAGACACTTCCTTGCAAAAGAAGAAACGTATGTCTGGTGGTGATACTGAAACCAGTCCAAATATACAGGAGTATGCGTGTGATCAATGTGACCATGTTTACACGCGAAAGTTGTCCTTAGTGTTGCATAAAAAATCACACGATGGCGCACGTCAGCCTATTAGTTGTGAAATCTGTGGCAAAAAATTTAAAATACAGGGTGCATATCGTACTCATTTAGAAAAACACAAAGATGACTCTGTTGGTTTCAATTGTGAAAAATGTGAAAAAATTCTTGGTTCAAAATCAGATTTAAGAAGACATTTAGCTGAAGCGCATAACGAACCCGGTCTTATTTATCAATGTGAAAAATGTAAGAAAGTATTTGTTTCTGAAACGCGATTAGATAGACATCAAGAAGGTCGTTGCCCGGGAGTTGAACACAAGCCAACTAAAAGACATGATCATGACGCTTTTTCAGTAGGTAAAGATTTATTTAAAAGCGTGGCACCTTTAACTACAACATACTGGAGTGATAGTTTTTCAGATTAAATATTATATTACACACACAAATCGTTCTTTAATTTTAAGTTTTTATTAAGAATTCATTGGTCTTAAGTTTATAATTGACATATATAATAAAATCTATATATTTTTGATATTCATTTAAATATATTATTTTTACGCTACAAATTTTAAGCACATAATTACGTTTAGTTTTGAAGCATTATCGAAAGATATGGCTCATATAAGAAATTATGCATTTTTAAATTTTGGAAACGCATTGTTTTCAACCATCCTGTCATTGACAAGTCAAACAATTAAAAATTATTCTTGCAAAAAATATTAACGTTTCTTTATTTAGAAATATAAGTTTATTAATATACCTATTGTTACAATTAATATATCTAAATGAAAGTAATTTCTTTTTAGTGTCTAACAAACCAATGTCTAATCAGGAAAACAGTTTTTCTTCAAGAACTAAATTCAAAATTTTTAATTAGATTTTTTTTGTAATATTAAATTATTTTATAAGTAACCTTTAAAAATATAATTAAGCTTATTTTAAGAATGTAAATTTTTATTAAACTATGAAATAAAATTTATTTTTAGTATAACTTTATTTAAGCAAAGAGATCTAATTGATTTTCTTTCCAATTCATATAAGATTAATGTGCTGATATATCATATATTAAATATTATGTTTTTAAAGTAGTACATTTAATGTAGTTTTTCTGTTTACTAATGATTAAATAATAATACAAATAAAACATAAAATGAATTTTTTTTCATAACACATATTAAATTAAAAACATATATTTGATGTTATTTTTTTTTTAACAAAGCATTAGGTAAATATTTAGGAGATATAGTCTGGAAACACCCTATAACATAATCTAACATATGTTCTACGAATACGACTTTCTGAGACTAAATCATTGTTTTGTTAAATGTCGTCGCAAATCTAAACATTATTTTGTATATAAATCCAGTATATGGATGTAATATGTATCAAGTTAAAGGATATTTAATGGATTAAAAATCGGTTTATGTTTTAGTATATTCACAAAATATATTGAATATTTTAAAGATATTGAATGTTATTTGACATGTTTTTAGGTAGAGTTCTCTTATACCTCCTGTTACTTGGTACATACTGAAAATGCACCCGCTCACCCATATGATTTTTCTCGTTCTTTGGCCAAGGAATCACCTTCAATATTTGTGCTACTTGGAAATACCATGAACAAGGTGAATTTCATATTATTATAACATATTTCCGTCAAAGCTGTATAATTGCTTTATGGAATTTAAAATTAATATGAAAATTAATTAAAACGGAATAATTTTTAATGAAAATTACTGTTCAGCATATTTGTTATTCCATTACGACGAATCCATGTTTATGTCAGTATCATATGGCTAATAACGTGATGTTTATAGTGTATTCAATAAAGATAATAATTAAATCGAATATCATATAGTGAATGATACTGTACATTAAAGTATGTTGAAATTAATGAGGACATATCGGATGAGGTGTTTATTTTGCGTTCGAGCAGCGCGCAGTTAAGCTTGGTGTTGCAGTGTTATTAAATTTGCCTTTAATTTATGGTAGCAGTTTCCGTTACGAAATAATCGAGATTGTTCTTATTAATCTGTCTCTAGCAGATTAACAGATGAACAAAGTCGTTGTTGACATCACATGATAATATTACATGCAATGATAATGTCTGTGATTTATTATTATTCAGCGCCAAACTGAAACGTGATTTTCATATTTAACACTTCACTGGATTTTAGCTTCCTGCACCATCATTATTGTTCTTGTCCTGTATTCTGCCGTTGGTTGCTTTTCTATTTTTCTCTGTATCTGGCATTATGAGTTAAATATTCTTTTTCGTATACGAGTATTAGTTGATTCACGGAAGTGACTTCATTCATCATTGCAAATCAATGGAAATTTAAAAAATTAAATTGATAATAGAGGAAATGTTATCTTTTCTTATTTTAATGAAAAATCTTATATTAAAATCCAAATAATATTTACTTATTTATTTGTAACAGCGGGAGATTGAGTCAATTTTAATATTTGTTGTCCTCATATTTATTTTTCAAATTTGACATATTTTGACAAATACTTGAAAGCAATAAATTTATTTTTTTTTTTTATTGCTACCAACCTCCGGTTTTTATAGTTCCAGAATGAAACAAAGATTGGAATTTAAATCAATCTAATAACAATAAGACAGCATTAAGTGGTATTTAAATTTTTTTAAGTTCGAATTGAATATTGAGTATATACAATATATATTTTGCTATATGCCACTGCTATACACTGAATACAACTGTAAAGGCAGAGGTGCTTTATTCTTTTAGGTGAATATTAAAACCCAGTAATTTCCCAGTTCGAAACGGTACGGTTCATTTTCAAACATGTCTAAAAGACATGAAGACATATGTTAACTATAAACCTATCGAACCAAATGTTTGTTGGTCTTCGAGGACACTTTCGAACAAATTAACCAATATTAGCGTAGATAGTTACTCTTAAAAAAATCCATTTTCTTTATAAAAAACATTTCTTGATTGATTCACATTGTTTTATACATTTCTTCTACTTTTATAGGCAATAAATAACATTTGGTTTTTATCAACTTGTGAATACATTTAAAATTTCAAGAATCACCTGTGCTGGTACAAAACCTACAACCTGTGGTTTAGTAAGCGAACGCTTAGTCAATAAGCCTTTTCTATATCCATTTTTAATATATTTATTTAAACAAAAATAAAGTGCTTATATAGACATGAAAAATGTTTACAAAGATCTACTGAAATAAAATATCTTGTAAGCACAATAATTAAGAGAATAGAGACATGAAGAAAAGAAATTAATTTGCAACCTAACCGCTTAATACGAACCTTGTCTTTGACACTGTTTTTAAAACCATGTCTGCGAAGACGATTTTTGCATCTGGCTCATGGATACGCTAAACACTTAAATACATAAAATGCATTTAAACAGTACACTAAAATTTCTTTGTTTAACTTTCTCCTTACTATATACATGAAGCAGTTATAAACAGTCAGTAGTTGTTGTTGGTCTTTCGCTTTCTAATACTTTAGTTATATGATTGATTCTAGTCTGTGCTTGTTATTATATACACAACTATTCTCTATCGCAAATTGAACTAGTGTAGGACCAGTCATTAAAGTACCACGTCTAGTCCAAAACTATACCATTTTCTGGAAAAGTAAGTGGTCTGTGGCGAACCAATTAATACTTTAAATTTCTCATGATTTCCAATTAAAAATAAAAAAATTTAATATATCATAAATGAGTTTATAATTAAAATTCGATATTAACGTCGTAATGCTATTCTAAATTTATTAATTGAATATTTTTTAACCCAACATAACTTTGAAATGATTAATATTAGGTCATCCAGAGTTTTTATAGGGTATTTAGTCAAAATTTTCAAAAAAGTTTAAAAATTATATTTGAAAAAAAAAATTTTAATCCACATATTGCCGATATTCTTCGCCACCTGTTATTTTTCACTTACAACTATTATTCTAGATCCAAAACCATTATTGTAGAATTCGGGAATTTATATTTGAAAAACTTACACACTTGCTTTTGATAACCCATTTTCGAGATTAAATTCCAGATTAATGTTGCAAAGATTTGAAAAAATTATAATCTTAGAACTAGCTGCTATGAAGTTAGATATAGAGCACTTCAACTGTCGTAAGTGTTGTAACATAAAAAGTATTATAAAGATAGTACAAAAAGTTCTTGTTACTTTTTGAAAAAATTGTTTATGTTTTATATAACATTATAGCAATTCAGAACTGGATGGTTGCAGTGGCACGCCATCAGATAACTTTCCATGCACCTCAATATTGTACCCCGATTTACCGCCGTTTAGCTACCACATTCCTCGCAAGAACTTCTAAGATAGAAAAATATAAATTGAATACATCCCACTGAATTTAGATAATTTAGTAAGTCTTTCGTCTTTACCGATGAACAGTCTGATAAGCTTTTAAAGAAATAGCTTCCTACAAAACCTATTTCTTCTGAATGCCAAAGTCGGCCATTCACAAGGAAAGTGTTTAATGGTTTCTTTTTTGTGCAGGTGTCTATAGCTTCTGCAGTGAGGATTATAAGGAATACACAGTTTCTATGCAGTAAGGAGCAAAAAGAACTGCAGTAAGCCTTGCAGTGTTTACACGATCTCTTTTGATGAGTTCCTAAGATCTAGTTTTATTATAGGTGGGTCATGTTAACCGGGAAGTTGTACATGCCACATTGCTGACATGAAGTTGCAATTTAATACTACTTAAAAGCTTTATTTACACTCTGTTCATATGTATTTTATTCAAAGTCTTAAAAATATATAATTTTTAAAAGATTCAATCATCATATTAAAATTTTTAGAAATAAGTAGAATTTGGAACAATGCGACTCTATGAATATATTGAAGGATGTCGAAGTAACAAACAGTGTGTACGTTATTGTGTTTTGGTTAATAATATTATGGGTTGTTTTTGTACGCTTTTACGTTTTTACTTAGGTATTATTTTACTTTTCTTTCAGAAGTTTATAAATAATTAATTAATAACTAATGTTTATGGTGTAGAGTAAAAAATAAACAAATGTTTAATGCAGTGTACATTATGAGACCACTATCCCGACAGTTTGTCTATTTTGACTCAAAAAATAATTTCGTCATTATAAACATAAAACTACATTTTACAAGAAATACTAACTTTGCAGTACAGTGAAGAGACAGGAAGGTATCAAAAACTCATTACTGCCTTTAAAAGTTTATAGTGCAATCAGGCAAACGATTTTTAATTAAAACAATGTAAGAAACATTTGCCTGTGAACTTTAATTGGGTAAAGCCTTTCGTAAGGATGTGTGGCTTTACGAACATTCCTTCCTTTTTTGCTATATATTCACACTCAGTGGTAATTAATTATATAGTTGAAGTAATTGAAAAAGCTATTAGTTGGTTGTTTTATGAAACACAATAACTTAAATATTATGAGTTAAATGTAACAACTATTTAATTTATTATTTAAAGAATACTTTATATTGAATATGAATATTATTATATTTATATGAAAGGTGCAGATATAATTAGTTTATCAGATATAATTAGTAATTATATTCATTTAATTATATTCAGTAATGATCCTTCCGCAACCGTACATGATATGTAATGCTATTAATGTCTTAGTCTATCATATATGTAACATTCTATATCACTATGATAGTCTTGCCAGACTCAGACTTCGATACTTATCAACTGCCTATCCACTTATAACGGAAATAGGAACACCTCTCCAAGGGACATAATTGCATTTTTAACTGCTACTCGGGTATGGTATTAAAGTGGGTTTGTCACAATAATCCTCAAAGGATACACTGACATGGTGACATAGTTCTCAAGCCTTTCTAAATCTATACTAATCTGATCTTATGTGTAAAGGTTATAATCAGTAATTATTAATGTTGCTTTA